AATTTTTGAATTTTTGAATTTTTGAATTTTATAGTCATACCAGTTTTTATGCTCAAAATTTTGTGTGATGTGAGACTTTTAAGTTTAAGTTCCAACGGTCGTTTCGGACTCCCAAAGAAATAGCCTGATTTAAAGCTAAATTCGGTACTCATATAGTGATCGATGAGTCCATTATCATCAGGTGTGTCCACACCATTGAAACACATTTATAACTCATTAATATCTGTATATCTATTGTCCACAGAATAGCCGATGCTTTTCATCGATTTGGTGATGTGTTTGACCAAAGTCTGCAACGGCTGGCCAGTGGACAGTAGTGTCACCGACACGTGTAATCCATGCGAAGAGATTGTCGTTAATTATAAACAGGGCCACATATTGCATTAACCAACCTACGTATAGCCCTCTCGCATATAAAATTAAAATGCGTTTAATGAGTGCTAATTAGTTTTTAAATTTTCTCCATTTATTAGTTTTAACTTGTTAACCGTGCGTCCTAGAACAAATCTGTACACTGCAATCAAAAGGGCGCAAAAATATAGTCTAGGTTCATTTGAAAGAAAATTACAACATTAACTTTAGGGAATATTTAAGTAAATAATAAACTTTTAAAATTATTTACGTAGAGAAATGTGATTTATAAACAAGCGGAGTTTGAAAAACAATATTTAAAATTTATTTTTCAAGTTAACCTAGAATAGATTTTTATGTTAATTCTATGTATGAGAATATTACACATATTACACATTTTGTTCAAATTGTAGTAAATCTCGACACATATGACTGAATGTCGTGTCCACTGTCCACACAGTTGTCTCGTTGTACGCGTCAAAGGCCGGGGGTTTTGGGTCACCTAAACACCAATTAATATGTCGTATAAACAAATGAACTGAATAATAACTACTGTTCCGCCAATTCTTGTCATAAGGGGAGTACAGCATAGGACAGACCTCAAACGGTTTGACCCCAAACTGTCCGTCCAGTCTGTGTATGATATGCGGCTGTTTGTTGATAACGTCGAGCACCGGGCGTTCGGCGATATTGTAATAATATTTGGTGGGATCGTAGTCCCGGAACGTCTCGTAACACAATCGCAAAAATCGGGCGTTTTTATGATCTAATGTCACATAAATATAGGACATTAATTTAAATCACCAAGTAACATGATAAAATGTTAGCGCGCCTACCGATTAGCACTGGGCTTCCCAACCCATTTTTGCTCTGAAAATCAATAGTCATTTCTTATTTGAAAAACTCATTCAAATGTTTAATGACATAAACATCTCGATCCAAATAAATGCCCCCAAACTCCCGGAGCGCCTGTAGTCGACTCAAATCGGACGCGTGCCATACCACCCATTTTGGGTTCAATTTTCTACCGAACACTTGGGTCGGCATCTCTATGGGTCGCACCGTTAGCCTCGTGCCCATCCTATTGGCAATAGCCTGCACTCTATGCCAGTGATCGCCGTATAGTTCAGTGCAGTCGCAGTGGATGTATATGTGGTCCGGGCGATGGTTCTTGACCACCGACATCATGGATATAAAATGAACAAA